TTTTCGAGGAGCATCCCTCAAGGGGTACCGGGTACCCCCCAGGAGGCCCGTCGCGCGGCAAGAAGGCCGAGTCAGCGGACGAGTCGCGCGCGTATTAGGGAAATTCGCGTCAAGTTAAATAGAATGTCCCATTGCACGTCCTTCATCGCACATCACGCGCCGCGACTCGTCCTTCTTGCCGCGCGACGGGCCTCCTGGGGGGTACCCGGGTACCCCACACAAGTGTGGTAATGAGGATGGGGTCGTATCATAAATTTTTGGAAATGTACGAACGCGACGGCTGACCCTGCGTCAATGACGTGTTGTTATTCTGTGGGAATAATCAGCATTATTCAGATCCTTAGTTGCCACAGGAAGAGCCAAAAATGGATTCTATCAATGGGGAAATGCACCACAGGCAGCGCTAATGTACCTTATGGTAAAGAATGCCCTCATCAGAAACATTCACAAATACGTACCCACATTCTATCTACTTCACACCATTTAGATATATAACTGCTCGGCAGAAGCGTACGCCTATGCACATGTAAGGAGGTGCAGCGGACGCCCATCACATCAGTGGGAACGGCCTGGCATGAAAGAAAGCATCCATGTCCTCCGAACGACAGCAACTGATACATTGGGAGCAATCCAGAATGTACGTTACGAATCAGTTCCAGAATTCCAGAGCAAAATCTTACCACATTTGGAGCTTTCTTCCTACTTGCCTTATGCTAACTTTTACTATCATAAAAATCCAATCAGGCGATAGCAACATGGCAGGCCGAACTTGCAAATTATGGAGTCCCTTCAAACATGCGCTTTACATTTTGGATGCCGTTCTGGCCAGCGACACGAGTGACTAAGGTTTGTTCCTTTTAGCTTCAAATAAACAAAAAATCCGGTCAAGCGTTGGGTGTGAACGGCGTCAATTTTGAAAAAAGGTAACGTAACCGGCTTTATCAATCGGATGGAGCTGAATACACATTCCACGATTTGGCTAAATGAATAAAAGGTAACGATCGCCATGGTTGGTGGGTGGTGCGGCAGTCCCACCCCTATTCCGCCGTGCACTAAGTGATTTAATCCACCA